GGGGGAGGGAGAATTTTTAAGATTAGTTAGGTTTAGAGTGGAATTCCACTTTAATCGAACAGAAGCAACGTTATACCTATTGGATGGTTGTTCATTTTGACTGATTTCATTGAATCACACAGCAGTCAGATAATAAAACAGAGGCATGTAGGTCCATAGCTAAATGGTTAGCACTTCAGCCTGGCAGTACTAGGGTCATTGGTTCGAATCCCAGCCACCACCTGCCTGTTCTGTGTCTGTGTGGGTTTCCTCCTGGTACTCTGGTTTCCTCCCACACTCCAAAGACATGCTGGTAGGTTCATTGGATCCTGTCTAAATTGACCCTAGTATGTATGAATGTAAATTAGGTACTTTAGGTTGTACACCCCTTGATGGTTAGGGACTGATGTGAATGTACAATATCGGGTGGACTGACAACTCATGGGGCCCCTGTGTCCTTGCCCAAACTCAAAAAAGCCTATGAAAAAGGTACCAGGGGCATCTCATGGGGCCCCTACTGACCCTGGGCCCTCAGGCAGTGCCAGAGTTTCCAAATGGTTAGTCTGCTCCTGTACAATATATATGTAAAGCGCTGCATAAATTGACGGCGCTATATAAGTACCTAAAATAAATAAATCATTACGCACAGTCTTTCATGTCAGTCCTACCAGCCAAAGGTTCTGTGTACTTGCTATATGACACAGAAAAATGTATGTTTATTCTTCATGGCAATATAATACAAAAGATCTATTCAGTACAATGAATGGCTATAGAGTCATCAGCATGAGAAGTTACAAAGGATGCATGATTCTGCTCCAAGCCAGGATTGGTCACCCTTTTCTATGAAACACACTGTTCAGGGGACACTGGGAATTGCAGTCCGGCTGTTGCATCTGTGTCCTAGCTACATGAGCCTAGACTACTACACATCCCAGAATCCCAGGGAACATTGGACACAACATCACTTCCTTTTAAAACCCTATTTGACTGCAAGGTATGGGCTGAACTGCTTTGTTAGAAGAGCCTTATCTACTGTGTAGTTTATGTATTTGTATGTGTGCTCATACAAAGTGATGCATCATATATTGTACCTAGACATCTGATTTTACAAATATTGCTCACTAGTACTTTTCAGGGACAATCTAGCAGCTTTCATCCCTGCATGCACTGTATCATGCTGCCTAGAAGTTGTTTTATTCCATTCTTTCATATTCTTGTCATAGCCATAACCTTTAATAGAACCTTGATTTCTAAGTTTTGAGAGTTGTATAAAATAATTGAATGTAATTTATGCGTAATTTGAATTCAATTGCAAGGATGAAAGGAGAAATGGGCATTTCTGTTAATATTTAAGGAGCGAAGAGGATGTTTACTGGGTAGCTGAATTGTAATAATTGTTCTTTTTTGCATGTTGAGTTATCCAGTACTGTGTTTTATGTCTTGCGTTTGAAGTATGCAAAAAAATGTTGTTTTTTTAAGGATACATAGATTTTTTGGGGGATACATAGATATGTTTATATTACAGGACAATTAAAATAATAAAACACACAAAAGATTAGATTGTAACAATTCACTTTATTAATGTGCTTTGTTAATTGTCCCTCGCTGATAAATTTGCAGCTGGAATATAATTTGTTTTTTTTCTACATCTGATGTATGTATTTTCTGCATGTTACAGGTGGTATGAATATGTCTCAAAAAACAAAAAAGAATTTTAATACATCTAATTTCCATGTATTCACGACCAGGACATACCAAAATGTGCAGCTTAGTGTTGTTGTATTACTCTAGCCACAAACACATCAATTATATCATTTCTTTTTATTTATTGGTTTGCTCATAATTCTCATTTTTCTATATGTAATATTTTTTATTACAAAAAAATGACAATTCTTGGGCAGAGGGAGAGGGAGTTATAATAGGGGGGTGGGTGAGAAATGAATGTCAGATATAAAAAGTATGTATTTTTTGTTTATAGTTTATGTCATGAACTCAGATTCTATCTATCTATATATGATAGTATAGGCTTTTTTTCTTAAAATAAAGTAAAATATCGTACTTACCTGTTCTGTGCAACAATATTGCACAGAGCAGTGCCTTATGTCCTCTTTGCCAGTTCCCCTGCCCATGCTGTCTGCTCCTTCTTCTTCCAAGTCACCCCTCAGTAAGTCGTGTGCGAAGGGAATACCTATGTGTATGTGCTCCCAAGCCGAGTTGTGTGCTTCTATATATACACACAACATTGGCAAACCATGCCCCCGCCCCCTCTATAAAGGAGTTGACTGACAGCAGCAGGATCCTATGGCTGCTAGTGGGGTGTTTTTTTACCTTAATGCAGGGAATGCATTAAAGTAAAAAAAAGTTTAGAGTTTAGAACAACTTGAAAGTTTATCATTTGGCCCATAAATCTACTATCTAAATGTGTTATATTTGGAATGAAAAGTGTATGTTAACCCAATTGATGAACTTTTTTTTAGTTCTTTTCTTGTCTGTTACATATACCGTTGGAAGATTTTGTTATATCTGTTTTATAGGTGCAAAAAAATATGTTGATTGTACCACAAATTCAGAGCTACCCTGTGTTTTGTGCTTTTTGCCTATGTTGTCTCAAAGATTTTGTTATCTTGAGACAACTAGGCAATCAGTTCCCATACTTTGGAGTTAAAGACAGTGGGCATGGATGAGTGGTTTAGCAAAAGAGAACTGGGCAGGGCTGACACCACTGAATCCACAACGATGCTGTGTGTTATCAGCCCACAACAGGAATATAAGAGCTTAGTGCATTTCTGGCAGATCTTTAATTTTTTTTTCTTTGTTCAGCAATTGCAGTGTCTATAAAAAGATAAATTGTGAGGAAATGTTTATGTATGGCAGAGATGTACTGCATATGTGTCCATTCCCAGATGCTAGGAGGTTCATTTTGTTCTAGTATCTGGGATAAGCTTAGCAGCTGCCAGGAGAAAAGTAGTTAGATCATATTAATGAGATTTAAAATGTAAATGTAAATTCAAAACTCTGGACTGTGGTCTAAATAGGGGCAGGAATGTTATGTGTCAGTAGAGATTTGATTGAATTTCTGACCTCTGATCAAAATCTTGAGGAGAAACAGGCTTTATTGTCAAAGGTATATGGACATTTCAAAAGACTCTCACTTTTAGCTCATGCCCTAAATGGAATAGAGACTATGGACTATGGGATTTACGGCATGCATAGAGCAGTGCACATGACCACAATTAACATGCGTTGCTCATTCTAAACTAATGGAAGGGAGGGGGAAAAGAAGAGGCTTGGGAGCACAATGAGGATGTTACATGGAGGCACAATAGCACATTAAGAAATGATTTCATGAAAAAATTGATTTATCAGAGCCATAGAATGCCATAAGGTAAAAAAAAAACTTTGAGAACCATTTAAAGAAGTGGATGTGTTTAGTGTCCATTAAAACTTTGGTTACTATAAATATATCTTAAACATTTACAGTAACCATTACCATTCAAGTGTGTTAGGAAAAAATAGTTGTAATTTATTAGTGGTTGTATTTCATTGCTTGTCTGGTATATGATCATTTCCATAGGACTTTCAAGTGAAAAATGGGGCTTGACTTCTTATCCCCAGGTCACTTACCCCAATCCCACTCCTAAGCTCTGATCTATCTCTATAGCCTGACCGTTAAGCCATTACTGTTCATGTGTGTCAAGAAATTAGTTGTATTTTTAAATATAGTAATAGTAAAAAGTATAGTAATATTTTACTGCTCCTCCATGCAGCTCTGTCTATAAGTATCTGGGATTTACAAACCATTTTTCAGAATTGTATAAAGCCTGAAGAAGACATCCAAGGTGTCTTGAAATCTTTTATCTTTAATGTAAGGGCAACCAAACTGATAAGAGGTATGATGGAGCTCAGCTATGAGGAAAGATTAGAGGAACTGAATTTATTCTCTATTGAGAAGAGGAGATTAAGGGGGATATGATGAACATGTATAAATACATCAGTGGTTCATATAGTGAACTCGGTGTAGAGCTATTCACCCTGAGATCATCACAGAGGACAAGGGGGCACTCTTTACGTCTGGAGGAAAAGAAGTTTAATCTCCAAACACGGAAAGGTTTCTTCACAGTGAGAGCTGTGAAAATGTGGAATAGACTCCCTCAAGAGTTGGTTCTGGCCAGCTCAGTGGATTGCTTTAAAAAAGGCCTGGATTCTTTCTTGGATACACAGAATATAACTGGATACTAACATTTATAGGTAAAGTTGATCCAGGGAATATCCGATTACCTCTCTGAGATCAGGAAGGAGTTTTTTTCCCTGCAGGAGCAAATTGGATCATGCTTTGCTGGGGTTTTTTGCCTATCAACTGTGGGTGTAGGATTATAACTTTTTTTTTTTTTTTTAATGGTTGAACTGGATGGACTTTTGTCTTTTTTCAGCCAGACTAACTATGTAACTATGTAATAGTAAACAATACCGTTATTCTCCAAAAATATTCCATACATATCGACTACTTAATGGCCCTGTAATCTATTTTTCATGACATTGTTTCTTACTGTGCTTTTCTGCTTCCATGAGCTCCTGAACCTCCCCTATTTCCTCTCATTTTCATTTGTTTGCAACAAGCAGTGCACTTTTGTTGGAGTCATTTGCACTGCTCTGTGTATACTACAGATCCCGTAGTCTACATAGCCATACAGTGGAACCATAGAAAATGAACATAGCCACCCTATAACAGGATGTCAGATCACAGCAGCAAACAATGGAATTAAAAGGCTGAGAGCAATAGAAGGTCCTTGATTTAAGAATAAATACTTAAATAGAAATTTATTAAACCATATAGACCAAATAGAATATTTTTAAACCAGAGTTTAGTGTCACTTTAATGACTTACGTTAGCCAATAAAGGGTATTACCTGAAATCTAATGCCATGGCACATAGTTGCTATTGTTTACCACCTGTGTAGGATGAAGCTGTTACAAGTTGTCATGAATAATTTGTGTGTGTGTGCCCTGTATCTGTGTGAAGATCTGGCTTTGCCTAATGCTCTAACATTTGTGTTTAGAATTCTGTGCTTGCAGCATTTACTTACACCAAAATGAAAAAGGAAAAGAGGCGCCTGACTGAGAAAATCGTGAATCATGCCCTGGGGATTATCTACTTGCTTACAGGAGAGGTAAATGCATACAATTATAATCAAAGCCACCCAAAATTTCCATGAATCATTGATAGAAATTGATAGTACTAAAAAGAAAAAGAGATGCATGTAAACATTACATTTGGATAGTATAACAGTAGACATTGAGGGCCGGGTTCACACCACAATTTCACATGCCTCTGATGTAGCCAGGTGGGTCTGGTAAAGCCGCTTAGGTAGATCATCAGCCATATGTAGTAGATATACATATCAGTCCCCTGCGCTCAAGAGTGGTGTACAAAGATGCAACTATGACATATCCTCCATGTATCAAAAATCAACACTGGCCTGGCTGCCCTGACTGCCCTCGCTGCCCTCTAAGGGTTGGGGGGAACCCGCAAGAACCAACTGTAAAAACAAAGGAAAACAGAGGGTGCACCAACCTTGTGCATTATCTAGGGTGATAACTTTAATGAACCAAAATAAAATATACTCCCAAACATTGTAGAAACAAAAGTGTATCAGATACAAAGCAGCCAGTACACAAGATCAGCTCCCAGATTAATGAGGACCCTCTTAAGGCTGATGCATTTCAAGGAGCGGTCTCCTCTTCCTCAGAGCCACTTCCTCAGGTGTGTTTTTTCCTCTTTTTTTTTTTCATCTCAGTTGGGGATATATTAGTTCTGGTGCTTTTTGATGCCTTTTTCCATGTTCCAGGTGCATTCCATACAGAAAAAAATGCAATGTTCTACTTTTGCTGACTGCACAGGAATGCATGGCACATTTGTGAACTAGGACCATTGCAATCCTTGTTTAACATTGTGCATGCATTTTTGATGTAGAATAAAAATGCACTGGCCTGCATCTGGTGAGAACCAGCTCTGAGCCTCAACATCTAATTTCCTGATAATAACAATGTATTTATTATAAGCCCTTGAGTAAGTGATGATTACCAATAATCTGAAACGTCCAAGCAAAGAAAGTCTACTGTATAATTGATCACTTGTTTGTGCAATGGCTCATTCTTATCCTCAAGAAGTTTGCTTTTGTGAACATTTATCATGTACAATCCAGGTGAAGATGCATTTGACAAGGCTTTTCTGCTCGAGTAGATCCTGTAGGTGGATTTGGCATACATTGGCAGGCAGACTTTCTCCTGTTGATGTCACTGATGTGACTCAAGGACAAATTTGAGCACTGCAAGCATGTTTCCACATTGGCTTCAGCACAGGAATGCACATCATTCATAGGTGATGATTGAAGAGTCAGATGAGGGTCCATGACATATGCATTAGGCTCTAATCAGATTGCATTCTGGGACGGCCTGGACCTCAGATGGCCCTGTGTGCAGGGAGCAGACTGATTAGAATATGATTTGGCTTTCAAAGAGGATGAGGGGTAAGTATCCTATTTTGTCCCCAACCCACCCACCACACCACTGGTGTCTATGTACTTTGTACATTTTTTAATAAAGTAAGGGAGAGGTACCTTCTAGGGGCATGTGTCATTAGGCTTTCGCTCATGAGAAAACTTGCTTCTCTTCCCATTCAAGTCAATGGGAATGATAAAGCTCGAAGGAGATGGATGCATGGCAAATACAGGTCATAAGGAGGCCAACTGCTCATCAAAACACATGTAAATGAACTGTGAATGTGATTCAGAAGTGTCTCAAACTAATATCAAATGAAACTGGATACACCTAAAATCAAACAGCATTTTCTTATACACACAAACCCAAAGCCCATTGACACAGACCCTTGTACTGCTCAGAAACTGTCTATTCGAATTTTCTTTCTAAAGCTGTCCTTTTCTAGTACAAGTTTAGATATTGCTGATTGCCAGGTATGAGTCTGCTGAATGCGATTCCTAAATATCTTGAACAAACTAGAGTGTTTTGCCACTGAAGGTATACCTTGTGCTTGGACCCGCTGTCACTTTGACAGCTGAGATCCTGATCTGTACAGCAGAGCTGCTTTTAGCTCTGATCATCAGGAATCGGTGTTTCTGCTTAAAGTGGTTGTAAAGTTCAGACATGAAATACAGACAAAGCATAACCCTCTATAGTGTGTACCTGTCTCAATTAAGAGCAGATTCATTTATGTCTGCTGCTTCCTTTCTTTGCTATCAGCATGAATCACATCTGACACGTTTTCCTGACACCTCACCTCACTGAGCTCTGCAAAGTGTGACTTCAGCTCTTCTCTCCCTTTTTCAAAACTCTCAGACAAGCTTATAGATTCTGGACTTTGAATATACGTAGAAAAGAGAATACAGCAGATAGACAGTACAACTTATGTAGGAGGATTTGTTTCATCTCTTTGTATCACCTGAAGCTGGTCACTTCACTAGGTATATATAAGGGTTTACAACCACTTTAATGCTTGTTCCTTTGTGAACAAACGTTAATGTATTGTAGCTAGATTGTGCTCAAAGAGCAGCTAAATGCCTACAGTAACTGTGAATGAGCCTCAAAATAGAAAAAAAGTTAACTTTTTTGATAAAATCTCCTTTTTAGCCCCTTCTTAACACACTGTTACCCCTAATTAACTCCTTCTGCTCCTGGCTTTCCTATTTATCACCTATAGTTTTGGTTTTAGGAGGAAGAGACTGTTTTATATAGTTTTTATGTGAAAAGGTTTTTAGTGTTTCTGTTCATTTAGCTTGTTTATTTCTGTAGTAAGCATAAAAAATGCATAAGCAAAATTATTAAACAAAAGGCTTTGATTTACAGGTGAAACTCGAAAAATTAGAATATCATGCAAAAGTTCATTTATTTCAGTAATGCAACTTAAAAGATGAAACTAATATATGAGATAGACTCATTACATGCAAAGCAAGATAGTTCAAGCCGTGATTTGTCATAAGTGTGATGATTATGGCTTACAGCTCATGAAAACCCCAAATCCACAATCTCAGAAAATTAGAATATTGTGAAAAGGTGCAATATTCTAGGCTCAAAGTGTCCCACTCTAATCAGCTAATTAAGCCATAACACCTGCAAAGGGTTCCTGAGCATTTAAATGGTCTCTCAGTCTGGTTCAGTAGGAATCACAATCATGGGAAAGACTGCTGACCTGACAGTTGTACAGAAAACCATCATTGACACCCTCCATAAGGAGGGAAAGCCTCAAAAGGTAATTGCAAAAGAAGTTGGATGTTCTCAAAGTGCTGTATCAAAGCACATTAATAGAAAGTGATATGGAAGGGAAAGGTGTGGAAGAAAAAGTTGCACAAGCAGCAGGGATGACTGCAGCCTGCAGAGGATTGTCAGGAAAAGGCCATTCAAAAGTGTTGGAGACTTTCACAAGGAGTGGACTGAGGCTGGAGTCAGTGCATCAAGAGCCACCACACACAGACGGATCCTGGACATGGGCTCAAATGTCGTATTCCTCTTGTCAAGCCGCTCCTGAACAACAAACAACGTCAGAAGCGTCTTACCTGGGCTAAAGAAAAACAGACCTATTCTGTTGCTCAGTGGTCCAAAGTCCTCTTTTCTGATGAGAGCAACTTTTGCATCTCATTTGTAAACCAAGGACCCAGAGTGTGGAGGAAGAATGGAGAGGCACACACTGCAAGATGCTTGAAGTCCAGTGTAAAGTTTCCACAGTCTGTGTTGATTTGGGGAGCCATGTCATCTGCTGGTGTTGGTCCACTGTGCTTCAATAAGTCCAGGGTCAACGCAGCCGTCTACCAGGAGATTTTGGAGCACTTCATGCTTCCTTCCACAGACGAGCTTTATGGGGATGCTGACTTCATTTTCCAGCAGGACTTGGCACCTGCCCACACTGCCAAAAGCACCAAAACCTGGTTCAATGATCGTGGGATTACTGTGCTTGATTGGCCAGCAAACTCACCTGACCTGAACACCCATAGAGAATCTATGGGGCATTGCCAAGAGAAAGATGAGAGACATTAGACTGAACAATGCAGAAGAGCTGAAGGCCGCTATTGAAGCATCCTGGTCTTCCATAACACTTCAGCAGTGCCACAGGCTGATAGCTTCCATGCCACGCCGCATTGAGGCAGTAATTGCTGCAAAAGGGGCCCAAACCAAGTACTGAGTACATATGCATGCTTATACTTTTCAGAGGTCCAATATTGTTCTATGTACAATCCTTGTTTTATTGATTGCATGTAATATTCTAATTTTCTGAGATTGTGGATTTGGGGTTTTCATGAGCTGTAAGCCATAATCATCACAATTATGACAAATCACGTCTTGAACTATCTTGCTTTGCATGTAATGAGTCTATCTCATATATTAGTTTCATCTTTTAAGTTGCATTACTGAAATAAATGAACTTTTGCATGATATTCTAATTTTTCAAGTTTCACCTGTAATTTTAATCAACTTAGTCATACCAGAAACATAATATTGGTGTCTTGATAAACAGGAAAAATTGCAGAATATAACTTGGGGCCCTGTCACATGAGGCAGATCCTGTAATGATTGGCAGGGGCAGATGACTCATCCGTGTCCAATAAGTATGTGCACAGCGGGCAAGGTCAGAGCCCATTCTGCTGTATGGGTGGCCAGGAGTAAACACACTTACCTATCTGTTTAAACCTAACTGCCCTCACTGTCTGTCCTGATCCATCTAAATGAAAGAGGACAGATATTTTTCAGTTTTTTTTGTTTTTGTTTTGTTTTGTTTTTTTTCTAGTAGTTTGGATCGGACCCAGAGGTATGTGGATGTAAATGGACACAAGTTCATTTACACCCTCCTTTCCATAGGAATGCATGGAACTTCCGATCAATTTCACCTGAAAAACTGACAATTGGACCTGCACAGATTGCCCTTGTGAAAGGGGCCTAAAACTTTATATTTAGCATAGTAACAATTAGGCATCTATTTATAAATGATACTTTGCTATTGTCAAGGATTCACACATTTTTCCAGTTAACTCTAATTAGAAAAATGTGTGAATCTTGTGTGAAAAAAGTGTGAGTCGTGAGTGAAAACATTTGTAAATGGATCCCTTATTTGTTAAAATTATTTTTCTATTTGCAGTGCTTTTGCCTTTTATATATACAGATTAATAAATATTTGAATACAACACCAACAAGGCATTGCTTAAAATGGTGAGTCAGTCAACAAAAATGTGCTTAAAGCAGTAGTAAACTGCAAGAAAAAAACCCCCAAAAAACAATGGGCCCCTGCAGGTTTACATCATTTTCACTGCATACTAATACATCATGATAGACTTACCTTTACACAGAGCCCTCCAGCACAGAGCTGTCACGGCTCCCCGGCGCTGCAATCTTCACCTGGTCTTCATTCTGAGTTTGCGTGCCCCAGACAAGTGAATGGCCAGGGCTGCGATGACATCACTCCTGCTCATGTGCACGATATGCCGTTCCTTCAGAGCGCATGCGCTGGTGACATCACCGGCTGCATGTTATGTGAATATTTCCTAAGCAGTGCAGGTTTAGGAGATGTTCACTGTACCTACAGGTACACGTTATTATGGGCTTACCTGCTGGTACAAGTTCTAAACTGGACTTTACTTCTACTTAAACATGTTCGGAACAAACATGAATCCATACGTAAACAAAAAAAAAGGTAAAACAAAAACCGGGGAGGGGGGACTCCATGGTTCACTAGTCTTTTTCTGCAGTCACACGTCTATTTTCTATGTTAGATCTCCCTCTAGTGGTTAATCCTCATTTTCCTGTTTTTAGAGATAGTATTTCTGAAAATAAAATCAAACACACACACATTTTATTAAATCTGAGGTTTAATGTGTTTTGGTGGATACGGCCCCAAGCACATAGGTTACGTGTAAGGCTTTGTTCAGACAGGCACTGGCAACCATCCTGTGTGCAGGTTGCCTTTGTTTTTGTGCCTGCATCTTCCCCGATCTGCATGCAGGCACCTTATAGAGGTGGAGACAGAGACATGGGCTGCACAGACACAGCCACATGTAAAGCTGTCAGAGCTGGGCAAGGGCAGCTGCATGACCCTGAATGCAGACAGCCTAGAGCAATTATTACAAGGAAATTATTGTTAAATTTTATCCTCATCATCCAAGGCAAAACTTTTATGTGTGCCACCAATGCTGTGTTCTCTTGTTTGTACAAACTATGAACTGCAAACTTCAAAGTGCAGGGGACTTGTTAGGAAATATGTCAAATATATTAAAAGAAAAAACTTTCTTTGTGTTATGTGTAATACAGTTGTGACCAAAATTATTCAACCCCCAATGCTGTAAAGGGGTTTAGGGACTATAGTGTACATTTGGAATTGTATTCAGAATCAAATCCTACAAGGACGTTGTAACTACCCAAATGCAACTAAAATGACATCAATTGTTTATGTAATACAGTAGTAAATGGTTCTTATGTGGTTTCTTCATTGCCACAATTATTCAACCCCTTAAAGACTACCAAGAACAGAGGTTCATACAGGTGCTTTCCATCAGGTATTGAAAACACCTGTGGATGTCACCGAGCAGCAATCAAGCATAATAAGCACCAATTAGGCAGCTTTAAAATGACTGTGATACTCAGCTCCTTCTAGACATTTACTGGTGTGGTTACAAACATGGTGAAGGCAAGAGAATGGTCCAGGAAGACAAGAGAAGAGGTGATTTCTCTTCACAGGAAGGGCAATGGCTATAAGAAGATTGCAAAGATGTTTAAACATACCAAGAGACACCTTGAAGCATCATTCGCAAATTCAAGGCAAAGGGCACTGTTGAAACGCTACCTGGTCGTGGCAGAAAGAAGATGCTGACTTCGACTGCTGTTTACCTGAAGCGTAGAGTGGAGAGAAGTCCCTGTGTGACTGCTGAGGAACTGAGAAAAGATTTGTCAGATGTGGGTACAGAAGTTTCAGCCCAGACAATAAGACGCACACTGCGTAATGAAGGCCTCCGTGCCAGAACTCCCAGGCGTACCCCCTTGCTGTCTCCAAAGAATAAGAAGAGTCGACTGCAGTATGCCAAAAGCCATGTGGACAAACCACAAAAGTTGTGGGATAGTGTTCTGTGGACTGATGAAACAAAATTAGAACTGTTTGGGCCCATGGATCAACGCTATGTTTGGAGGAGGAAGAACAAGGCCTATGATGAAAAGAACACCTTGCCTACTGTGAAGCATGGTGGAGGGTCAATCATGCTTTGGGGCTGTTTTGCTTCTGCAGGTAAGGGAAGCTTCAGCGTGTGCAAGGTACCATGAATTCTCTTCAGTACCAGGAGATATTGGATGGAAACGTGATGCAGTCCGTCACACACCTGAGGCTTGGGAGACGTTGGACCTTTCAACAGGACAATGATCCCAAGCATACCTCCAAGTCCACTAGAGCATGGTTGCAGAGGAAAGGCTGGAACATTTTGGAGTGGCCATCGCAGTCACCAGACTTAAATCCGATTGAGAACCTCTGGTGGGACTTAAAGAAAGCAGTTGCAGTGCGCAAGCCTAAGAATGTGACTGAACTGGAGGCCTTTGCCCATGAAGAATGGGCGAAGATACCCGTAGATCGCTGCAAGACACTTGTGTCAAGCTATGCTTCACGTTTAAAAGCTGTTATAACTGTAAAAGGATGCTGTACTAAGTACTAAGATTGAATGTCACTTGGGGGTTGAATAAAACTGATAATGCTGTGAGCACAGAAAAGACATTTGTGGTTATTTCATTATAACTGTTATGTTATATTTGTCTGACCTACAAGTGCCTCTTTAATGTAAATGTAAGCAAGATGACTGAATGATCAAAACAATGTCAAACTTCAATTTCAGTGTGGGGGTTGAATAATTTTGGTCACAACTGTAACTGAAATGACTATTAGACACATCTGCCATTTCATTGTTTGCTGTTCTTTAGGAGTATGTCATAGTGAAGAAGAATTCACCTCATAGTGCCAACCACCTGCTGTCTGGAGAGGTGAGTACTGCTGGAATATATAAGATTTCATATAGTGCACACATCACTTTGTCACTGTTCACCCATTTTTTATAGTTGCAGTTAGAAAGGGGCTCTTTGTTCAGTTTGAGGGTTTCTTATCTTTTCCTTTTAGGACCAATAGAAGATAGGGTGTTGGGGAATCTTAATCCAGATATCTGCTATGAACATGTGGCAGTCACTACCAATTTTAGTTTGATAGCCATAACTTTGTTGATTCACCTTTGGTGGAAAATAGGTCCATGAACTTCCAATTTAGTGTTAGTATCAGTTTGCATCTTTAACCATTTTTGACCTAGTGTATTCTCTCTGCCTTAATTACTGTGAATAATTTAAGCAGGGAATTCAACCCCAACTGTTACTTTGACCTATTTTGCCCCTACACCCCTGGCCTCTTAATCACCCTGGGCATGTACTCTATATGTACATGTAATAGCTCTTCCCTGGCAATAAAAAAATGTTTGGGCTAGAGATGCAATGGTCAAGGATCTTTTTTGATTGGCTTTCAATTTTTGTATTTTAGGTGCCTATAAAATGTGGGGATGTCTCAATCTATTTTTCCATGGATGAGTGGGACTTTATAGAGGAACATAAACAACTTTATCATGAAGTTACACTGCAGAACCCAAACACATTTCATCCTTCTGAAATCCTAGCAGCTATCAGCCAAGGTGGGTTACAGTCAAAGAAGATTAAAGCCTCATGCACACAGGTGTAGAATTGTATGAAGGATCTTGCTGACAGAAAGCTAGCAGCAAGACCATGTGTAAAAAGCGGCCCATAGCGCATCTCAACTCGTAGTGACAAACAAGTGTATATGTCCATTTGAGTTAATGTACAAATTATGTTCAAAGTCATTCTTTCATAATGACTTAATGCTGAGGTCATTCTGTGCCTGTGCCACTGCAGCTAACTACCCATTGTTGTTTACATCTCTTCCCTGGCCCTGAATGACTAGAGGTGGTGCCTCACATGCCATGCCATTTAAATATTATGCATGTACTTGTACGTTATGTGGTATACATATACTGTAAATGTTTGTGCATGCATACCACATAAAATACAGTCAAAATTGAATCATGAATTTTTTGGTTTACACAGACTCAACACTACAAATCAAAATGCAGCATACAATATGGCTTTGTGCAGATCCCTAGAATACTGTAAAGATCTGAAAGCAATGTACAGATCTGCACTAATGTAGCATATTATTACCCTAAACCATAGATTCAGTCTTTCTACTATGCTGCTCTGGTATGGGCATGGCTGAGGCAATGTAAGAAAAGGCCCTACTGTTTTTTGAAAAAGTGAACTTGTGTTTACCTAAGGGCCTGTTCATGCAATATGTGTTGACCTGCATTTTGCAGCAGAAGAACAACGCAAACCACCGCTAGGGCACATAGTAAACAGGGTTTTTTTTATGTGCCCTATTCATACTAAAACTGAGCAGAGGTGAGGGGTGCAAAAAATGCAGCATATCTGTATTTTCTGCACATCGTCGGAGCTCACTAAAGTCTTCATCTGTCCATCCATTTTTATGCACCGCAACCTAAACCCCTGTAGACCCTGAGCCTCACTGCAGACTCAACATCCAGTCTTGTAAAGAGTAAGCTTTTTTCCCCCCAGTGACTGGGGATTTGGTGTGGCCACAGGATGGCATTATTTACATTTTAGTAAATAAGGCTCAGGTTCAGTTGACTTCAATACACCTCTCAATAGTTCTGGTACACTGAATGATATTTGGATGACAGTGGCAGGGCACAAAATCATGGAATCTCAGTCAGGTTCATTCTATTGCCTGAAATGAATTACCTATATACTGAAATGACTTTTTTTTTATCAAGGCTGTACCTTTATGAATAAGTATCTTGTTGACATTAACAGAATGCCATGATGACCCTCTATGCATGAAGGACATAATGGGTGGAGGATTAAGGGATGTTCAACAAGTAGAAATACGTTCGGGCAACTGTGCAGGTCAGTGACATTCATCTGATTTTTAAATTAATTACATTAAGTTTTCTTCTGGCACTGTGTTATACTGCAGTAGTATTAGCTACATATGGTATGCAGTGTTGTGTTCAGGCAGCATCATAGACAACTTCCCATCTGCTGCCAGAACAAAATCAAACTGGGCTGAGTGCTTCTCAGGCATTCAGAGGAAGCTTGTATTTTTATGCACCTACCTTTCCACCTCGGCCAATCAGAGGAAGCATTCTGCCACTGCACACCAATAAGAATGAGAGTATTCATTGCTGACATGGCAAGCAAACCAGAATATTTATTGCTACCACTGCACAGTATTGGGAAGGGTAGTTATTGAAGCACACAATTGAAAGGGAGTATTTACTTCTGCCACTGACTGCAGTGAAGGGGGGTATTTATAGCTGTTACTGACCACCAATGAAGGAGGGTATTAATAGCTACCGCTGTACACCAATGGGAAGGTGAATATTTAATGTTGCCACTGACTCCAGTGAAGGGAGTGGGTTCATTATTGCTACCACTGTACACCAATGAATGGGGGTATTTATTGCTGACATTTCCACTGAACACCAATAAGTTTGGAACATTTATTGCTGACTTGCTGATGCCACTAACACCAATAAAAGGGAGCGGGGAATTATTATCGCCTTTTCTGCCACTAACACCATTGAAGCATTGAAGGGGGATTCTAATATTGCTGCCACTGTCATCAATAAAGGAAGAGGATTTATTATTGCTTCCACTGTCACTAATGAAGAGGGCTTATTATTGCTTCCTTTTCTCTGAGCTGAGCCCCACTTCCCAGAGACCCTTGCATGGTCATGTCTGCAGCAGCATGTAGCTTCTATACAGACTGGTGTGAGAGGGAGATACAGCATCAGTATGTAGCAGTAGTAGTGGCAGTAGAGTGATCAGAGAGGCCCATGAGAATGAAGCTTCCTGGAAGGGGTTTATCCCTGTTATATGCATGTCTTTTTCTGGTTTTATTATGATACTGTATGTATGGCCTTTGATTGATATTTTTGAATTGGAAATTGTACATAATGTCTACAGCATTAGCACTGGACTCCTGTGTTGCAAAATACTTGTGTGGTTATTGGACACTGTCCTGGAGATCACAACTTGCTGTAAATTGTGGGTGTGGGGAAATTCATACAATGGGGGAGATTTAGTAAAACTGGAGCACTCAGAATATGGTGCACCTGTACATGGTGGACAATCAGCTTCTGACCTCAGCTTGTTCATTTAATCTTTAATAATAAAACTTGGAAGCTGATGGGTTTCTATGCTGAAGTGCATTAGATTCTGACTGAACCAGCTTTATTATTATTATACAGTATTTATAAAACGCCAACAGTTGGCTCAGCACTGTACATTACAAAGGGGGACAGAACATACGACAGTACAGTAATAATACAATGCAAAACACGAGGGGTTCGAGGGCCCTGCTCTTTCGAGCTTACAATCTAGTAAATAAACCCTAATGTGTTTGTATTAAAAATGTTAATATTAAGATTTGTATGACAGATAAAGTTGAATTTTTTTATTTTACCAGACAATTTTATAGACGAGCAGGACAGTGCCTTAAACAATGAAAGAGACGACTGTGAAACAAATGAAAATGACATTCTTCAGGTGGAAATTGACTCACAAACATATTCTGGTAAGAACTGGTTCAGAACTGACCAATCACAGGAATTTGCTCTAAGATTAAAACTAATTTACCTAAAGTTTAACTTCAGTCAAAAGTTTTTTTTTAACTTTGGCTAGAGCAGGGGTGGCGACCACGCGGCTCTCGAGCTGCGTGCGGCTCCCGGCCAAAATGAATGCGGCTCTTTGCCTCTTATCATATTTTGTATACTGTGGCTCTTTGCCAAGTTTCATGTTTCTCTTATTTTTACCTGTTCCTCTATCCAGCAGCGCGCTGTCTTCCGGCTTCTGTAGTGTGGGCACTGGGCATGACAGCCGGGTGCCAAGTGCGCATGCGCAAGAAGCGGTGCTTTTTGTGAATGGTAAGGCGGTACCTGGGACACATGACAGATCCCAGAAGCCGCCGGACCAATCACAAAGCGCAAGTGCTTCTCGCTCATGCGCACTGGGCACCCGGCTGTCATGCCGAGCGCCATTTCAGAAGCCGGGAAGACAGCGCGCGGCTGGATCGAGGAACAGGTAAGATCAAACAAAAACTCTGCGGAAGTAAGAGCGGGTACCTGTCAAATTCAGGTACCCGCTCCCTACCTCCCCAAAGGTCAGCAGTCATCTGTACTGTCCGCAGTCTCTGGTCATCCCTGTGCTGTCCACAGTCTCTGGTCATCCCTGTGCTGTCCGCAGTCTCTGGTCATCCCTGTGCTGTCCGCAGTCTCTGGTCATCCCTGTGCTGTCCGCAGTCTCTGGTCATCCCTGTGCTGTCCGCAGTCTCTGGTCATCTCCTGTACTGTGTCTGCAGTCCATTAGTTCAGTATTTGTTTTTGTATACTTGTGTGTTAGAGTGAGAGAGAGAAGGGAGAGAGAGAGAGACAGGTTCCACAGCAACCTCCAGGGTAGTTGATGTGTTAACTCTGGCTAAGTTGCATTTGATGTGTGTGTTGAGGGTGGACACTTACCTTGAAATGAACACATTGTTGTTTTGTAAGGGGAAGAAAGTGTTATGGTGAATAATATGGTTTTAATTATGTGTTTTTGTGTGAGTGTTTGTCTGTTTTGGCAGGTCACTGCGTGGTGTGGCTCTCTGACTTTCACAGTTTAAAATTTTGGCTCTTTGTGTCTAACTTGTTCGCCACCCCTGGGCTAGAGTAAAGAATATATTTTTTTATCTATTTTGTCTGATGCCTCAGTTCCCCCACTTCTTCATCTCTGTGATAGCATCACCTGCAAAGAAAGTGAGGATAAAAGCCCAACAGCAACAAATATTTTTGGATTCAGATGCTGTATTCTTTCAGTAATCTACAGTAAAAACTCAGAGGGTCAAATCCTTCCCCACTCTCTCCAAAACAAATCAAATACATTTTGGCTAGTAGTACACTTTAATTAATAATACAATACTTTAAAGTCTTAGGTTTTTCTTACACAGGCGGCCAGGGGCAGTAAAAACAGGCAGTTAATCTGCATGTTACTGCACCTTGACTGCCCACCTACAAGCGGACATGGTGCCGCTTGGGTGCCTCGCAGCAGCTTTACGCTACTTTCAGAGTTTGACAGGTGGCATCGCGTGTCAAACTTTTCCATGTAAGTGAACACTTGGCTTGCAGCTGCCTGCATGTTCCCACAATGCAAAATGTCTGTTTAGCAATGAAATGTTTTCTTTTTAAATGGCAATAGGAGGCGGCAGTATCACCTCTTGAATGCCTGAAGACCTCCTTTCACTGCCCTCTGAAAAGTGAAGAATGCTTTTCAGGGGTGGAAAAAAATGTTACTTCTAGTTTGAAAGGAACCTCATGGAAAACAAAACAAATAACCAGTTTTATTTAAATCATAAAATGTATCTATAGCCAAAACTTTTTTTTTTTACATTTTGGATTAAGTGGGGAAGGAATAGAACTGCTGTCAGGTTTTACAGCTGTCAGAGGCTAAATCGAGGAGATTCCTTCACTCCCTGTCCACTAAAGAGGCTGTTCCTAGGACAGGGAGTGAAGGGAAATATCTCCAACAGTAACACAGACAGAAGTAAACATGCTATGTTAAGGGTGTGCTGGAACTTCTGTCAGTATTTTTTTTTTATTGTTGTCTGTTTTCCTGTTGCAGTTTTTCCCTCACTTTCTGCCTGGTAAAGATTGTACCAAGAGCAGAGAGCGAGGAGCAATTTCTTTAATGGAGCCCTGGGTAGCAGGAAAACCTGACAGGTCTTCTAACCTTTACCCATTTGTGTTCAATATATTTTTATTGATTTTTATGTAACCAAATTTTTGAAACAACCAGCAACGTTACAGAAAGGAAAAAAACCATGTGTACAAGAAGGCACCTTTTCCGATTTTAACAAAAAGCTAAACCTATATACGTTCTCCACAAAACCCATGGCCAATTTTTGCTTTATTGATGACAATTTGATTATTTAAACTCCACTACAAGTGAGGAGGATATTTCAAAATTTTGCTGGAACTTCAACTTCCGCCCCACAATAAAACTTAAATTAGACTACACAAAAACAGAAATGCACTTCTTGGACAATACAATATATATAATCCCTGGCGGTATTCCTGAGTGTAGCTCGGGGTAAAGTTTCAGTACCACAAGTGGTAACCCCGAGCTACACTCGAGCTTACCATGTGGCGCTGCTCCGCGATCTCTCGATCACTTACCTTGTCCTGCGCTCCCGCGATGTCCCTCCTGCAGTGTCCCCGGCATCTGTCATCTGGGTTCCATCCCCTGAGAGTGTTGGGACGTATGGGGGACGGAACAGTGGGAAATTTGAAAATGACAAAAAGTGACATTCACTAAAATCACATAGTAAAACATTACTGTATCAAACCATTTCACATACATTTTGTCCCGAGTGCTTTGTCCTGTGCCCTGCCTGCATTTTTACTGTTCTTTCTACCTGGAAACTGAGAAACGTCCATGGCGTCCAAAAAGCGTCCCTTTATGTCAAAAGCGGTTTTAGACCAGCTAGAGAACAGCGATAGTAAATTAGAACTACTTGCAGAATTGAGTGATAATGATTCGTGGGGAAATTCGTCATCAAACACTGAAAACGATTCTGCGACTTTGCTCAGTGATGTGCGAACTTGGCGCTATAATTCAGATTTCAGTGTTTTTGGTTTGATTATATTATTGAATTAAATGTAATATTATATTATTAATTTTTATGATTATGTATTAAATTATAATTTATGATTTTGTGTTTCAAGTTTTATCATACCCGGGATGTTTACTAGACTCTTGTTCGGACAGATTTCAGTTAGTTATTCCTAAAAATTACAGGCCTACAATAAAAAAAATACATATTTCCATGCAAAAAAAGTACCGCTTTGAGCACAGAAATATGGACATAATCAGACCGCTAGGGAGGTTAAGGGAGCTGATCTGAAAACATCCATCCGCAAAAACTCACAGACCATCCCAGATACCTCAGGCTTGACAGCTTTCATTACAGGCACATAAAATAATCTGTCATCTATAGTAAGGCCATAAGATACAACCTGTTCAGACACTACAACCAGACCCAATTGGAACACCTGAAGAATGATTTAATAAAACAGGGATATAATCCTGTGACAACCAACCCACAGTTCAGGAAAGCCATTAACTTCCCCAGAACCAGACTTTTACACTATAAACAGACTGCTAGAAAGGATAATTAGGTCCCACTTGTGGTGACCTACAACCCATGCCTAGAAGTTCTACGGAAGATTGCAAAAGAGCTCCAGACTTTCCTGCCCAAAGATTTAATACTTTAAGAAATATTGCCAGGAACCACCTCTACTAGCATACCTACAACCACCCAATCAAAGACAGCTTCTTGTGAGAAGTTCCCTAAACAACCTAAAAAGTCCAGTACTAAATGGAACTTCTCCCTAAATGCAGAAGAAATGTGAAACACACATACATGTCCATGGCACCGACACGGTGCCAGTATCGGTATCACAGCAGGAGTACAGAATACAAGGTACTGTTTGCTACAGATCCTCAAGTGTGGTATACCTGATATTGTGTGCAAAATGCCTTACAGGATTCTATGTTGGGAAGATGGGTCAAATCTTCCACCAGTGAATGAACCTTCATAGGCTCTCAATTAACAACAACAAAACAGATGTTCCTACAGCAGCTCATTTCTGCAGCAGGGGCAACAGCATAAAAGATCCTAGGATCATGGTACTGATGGGTAACTTCAAATCTCATAATGAAAGGATGGAGTGGGAATCCAGACGAGAACCCCAAATTATTGACTGTGGTCTAAATAATTATAAATGAAATAAGCCTGATTTCCTCAAGTCTTTGATCAGAGGTATATGGACGTTTCAAAAGGACTGTTGTTCTCACTATGGTGACAAGTTTGTCTGTACCCAGTACCTCTCTTATCCTCTAGCTGCATTTCATTAATAGTATTATTTCATTGCTTCTCTGGTATAAGGATGTTTCAAAAGGTCTCTCATTTTGAGGAGGGGATTGTGCCTGGACTCCTTGTTTCTGAGTCAAAAACCCCAATAACACCTCTAGGTTCTAATCTCTATTTATTCACAATAACTTTTACTAATCAAGTGTGCCAAGAAAAAATATTTGTAGTTGTAATTTGGAAAAGGGGATAATTACCAACAGAAAACCGACAGGCGACTTAACAAGAGTGAACACAAGTCCCTGCTGCTATAGCACCAAGGAGAGTGTTTAACGGACCATGCTTTGAGCTGTCATTTATAAATGCCACAGGTAGACAAGTATAGGCTAACACAGTAAAATACTCTAATATGGCTGTTTTTTTATCACTATAATTGTATTCGACATTTACATTATTAAACAGATGACCACTACCACCTTCAGACTGCAGTACAATCTGTACTTCCATCTGCAGACTATTGTCTTTTTGGGGTTTATTTACTAAAGCTGGTTCACTCAGAATCTCTTTACCTGTGCATGGCAGCCAATCAGCTTCTAACCTCAGCTTGTTCAATTAAGCTTTAGTAATACAATCTGTAAGCTGATTGGTTTCTATGCAGAAGTGCACAAGATTCTGAGGGAACCAACTTCAGTAAATCACATTTTGCCAAAGAAGCCTCCAACCTTTATGAGAGTACTATGCCATAGCTGACAAAGTCACCGTATGATTGGGAACCAGTGGTACTTGGTGATTGTCAGTGGAGACTGGAACTGTCAGTGACAGCCAGGATTGCGAGGGTAGGCGCTAAAGTGGCTTTAAAGGCTGAAGGTTTTTCACCTTCATGCGGTCTATGCATGAAGGTTAAAAACTTTCTGCGTGCCGCATTCCCCCCAGCTCCCCCTAATACTTACCTGAGCCCCATCTCAATCCAGCGATGTGCACGAGAGCCCCTCATTGGCTGAAACAAAGGAGTGGGAGCCATTGGCTGTCAATCAGAGCCAGTGAGGCGGGATCAGGGAGCAGGGCAGAGTCACACTATGTGTGCCTTTTAGAGATAGATCATGAGTACCTTTTAGAGACAGATCATGAGTGCCCCATAACAAGCAGCTTGCTATGGGGGCAGATGGCAAGGAGGAGGGGCCAGGACCACCAGCGGAAGACCCCCGAAGAGGAAGATCGGGGCTCCTCTGTGCAAGATCATTACACAGAGCAGGCAAGCATGACATGTTTATTATTTAAAAAAAAAAGGTTTCATGACATATTTGTGTTTTCCGTTTTATATGACAGAAGAATATTACCCTAACCATATATCTGACAACGAGCAAACTGATGATCTGTATGCCAGGAGCTGCGAGCAGGAAACACACGGTGATACTTGGACAGGTAACAAAGTGTACTGGACTGAATTCCTTTTGCTATTTCACACAGAATGATTCATGATAAAATGTTGATAGAAAGTTGAAATATCTTCCCGAAGAGGCATGCCCAGTGGCATATATATATATATATATATATATATATATATATATATATATATATATATATATATATACACACACACACACAAATATACACTGCTCAAAAAAATTAAAGGAACACTTTTTAATCAGTCAATTAAACTCCTAGGATATTGATCTGGTCAGTTAGGTAGGAGACAGGCAGTTATTCTAGCAGAGCTGGACAGGGCTGTAGGAGATCCTTAACCCATCAGCAGGACCGGTATCTGCTCCTTTGTGCAAAGAGGAACAGGATGAGCACTGCCAGAGCCCTACAAAATTACCTCCAGCAGGCCACTGGTGTGAATGTCTCTGACCAAACAATCAGAAACAGTCTTCATGAGGGTGGTCTTAGAGCCTGATGTCCTCTAGTGGGCCCTGTGCTCACTGCCTGGTACCATAGAGCACGATTGGCATTTTCCATTGAACACCAGAATTTGCAGGTCCGCCAATGACCTGATGAGAGCAGGTTCACCCTGAACGTTCATATATGTGCATATCCATGGAGGGATGCACAGACCTCTACAGGCTAGATGATGGCACCCTGACTGCCATTAGGTATCGGGATGAAATCCTTGGACCTATTGTCAAGCCCTATACTGGTGCAGTGAGTCCTAGGTTCCTCCTGGTGCACGACAATGCCCGGCCTCATGTGGCGAGAGTATGCAGGCAGTTTCTGGAGGATGAAGGAATTGATACCATTGAATGGCCTCCATGCTCACCTGACCTAAATCCAATAGAACACCTCTGGGATATCATATTTTGGTCCATTTGACACCACCAGGTTGCACCTCAGACTGTCCAGGAGCTCAGTGATGCCCTGGTCCAGATCTGAGAGGAAATACCCCAGGACACCATCTCATTAGGAGCATGCCCCAACGTTGACAGGCATGCATACAAGCACATGGGGCCATACAAACTACTGAGTGCCATTTTTAGTTGCTGCAATGAAATTTTAGCAAAATTTCAGCCTGCTGCATCATTTTTTTCACTTTGATTTTCGGGGCGTTTTTGAATACAGTCCTCTGTAGGTTGATAATTTAATTTCTATCAAACAATGCGGCATCCTTACATTCCTAACACATTGGCCAGTCCAAATCAGTATAAATATCCAGCATGAAATTTTTCCCCATTGAGATCTGATGTGTTTTCAAAATGTTCCTTTAATTTTTTTGAGTAGTGTATATACAAACATATGCACACAAATTTATATAGTGAAGTTTAGTACAATAGAGTCAATCAGAGAAACCCGTCCACAAGCAGGTTTCTATTTTCAGGGCTTCTTGTGCTAACTTTTATCACTCAGTGGTGCTGAGTAATACTGACTGGATTTCCCGTCTTTTACTCCTAGCAGTAGCCACCCCTACCGTACTGATGTTTACCCAAAAGACAGTCGTGGGCATGCTCACACAGTGTGTCTCTCTCCCTCTGCCTTAGTGGCATTGATCCCTGTCTGAAGCAGCCTTCTCTCTGCTATGGAAAAGTGCACAACTTGATTGTTTAAACCAGTTAGACATCCTCTCCTTGTCAAACTGTCTTCTCCCATTCCTACTGAGGAAAACCCTGTCATCTACCCTACTCTTTTGTATGGCATAAACTAACCTTTTTATCAAACTTTAACATTTTTTATCAATTTGCCAATATATTTGCAATCTTACATAAATGTAATCTTAATATTTTGCTGCTTTTTATTATAGCATTGGTTATGAATGCTTTATTTGTATTCACTTTTTTTTTTGTTACAATTTTTCACATTGAGTAGGAAATATAATAACATGTTGATTTTTCATAAACTGTGGGAACATTGGATTGTGATGGCCTAAGGTTAACTTATATAAACCCAAGGTGTGTCTGTGTAATTCTGCTGATAGTGAAGTGCTGATACCCATTGTCCACTCACTGTGCCCTGCCATAGTTGAGCACCTGAGGATTTAGAGGTTTCCAAATTCATTGTGTTAAAAAGTGTATACCACAGGGACAGATACTCTATGCATCGGACATCACATTAGACATGTGTGTGTATAATGTAAAAAATGTTTAAGTAATAGTATCCACCCACCTCCTTATACTTGCCTGAGCCCTCATTCAATCCAGTGCTGCTCATCTGCAGTGTATCACTTTCTGATCTCATGGGCCATTCTGAGGCACCAAGAGCATTGGCTCCCACTGCTGTCAATCAAAGCCAGTGACGATGGAGAAAGGGGTGTTTGTGGCTATAGACACAGGCAGCACGGCTCGAAAGTGACCCTGTATAAGTGCCCCTATAGGAAGCTGCTTCATTTGGAGGCACTTGTCGGAGAGGAGGAGCCAGAAGCACCAGTGGGGGACCTCAGAAGAGGAGAACTGGGGCCGCTTTGCATTTATATTCACTTTAATTGTTATTAGGAAAAATCTTGGGCATCTACTTTGCACATAACATTTACATAACTTTCACCCATTTTGTAATTGATGTCATTTGGAAAATATATGAATTCTTGGTAAAAGTTGTATGAATCTTGTGTGAAAACATTTATAAATAGACCCCCTTGGTGTAACAATAAATTAATATCTGCAAAATAAAACTTTTTTTTCACTTATGCTCCACTGATAATAAAAAAAAATATATATTTTAATGATGTGTATTTGGAAACAGCTCTCTTTTTCTTATTAGGCAATATAAGAAGTATTCTGTTAGAGCCGTTTCACAGGGGTGTGGTGCTTTTTAGGGTGTGCTGCATTTTAGGTGTGTGTTATATGTATACTGTACAGCGCTGAGCAAGCTGTTGGCACTATATAAATCCTGTATAATAATAATAATAATATATGTGTTTTAGGTGCACTACCATCGAATGTATATAATATGCCATATAACTTGCATTTTCACGAAAGCACAACAAAGATGCAGCAAGCAGGACTTTTTTTAAACTTACCACACCTAAAACACAGCCTAATGGTATTGCTTTCTGGTATAGCCAGTACATCAGCTTGAGCCGTGTAGGAAAGAGGAAATAAACTTTTAGTATTTTCTGTATTATACTTTAACTTCTTTGTTATTTTCAAGCTACGATTATTTAGTATAAAAATATTACATTTAACATGCAATATCTGCATTTTTGATACTTGTCCCTTAAATGTTTGTGTTATCCATTGGTTCGCTCTCTCAGTATTCATGCAATCTATTTCCTTTCCAGTGCATCCTACTTTCACTGATTTCATAGACAGGACTATTCCTGAAGAATCCTACAGTGTGAACTGCTCCCCGGATGGTTTGGCAGAGGATGACCTTAGCTTTTTCCATGGGCTTCAGGAAGAAAATTCACCTGAAAAGTCACCTTCATACGAGATAGGCAATCTCACATTTACTTCTGTGTCTGAAGAATGTGAACAAGGATCACTGCTTCTGAATGAGAGCTTTACTAATATAAATCATGAAGAACCAAAGGGAGATAAGCAGTTGGCAACCAGGAAGGTTGGAAAGACTTCTGAAAGAGTTAGCAGATCTCAATTTCAAACCAGTAATCAAACCCTGCATGTCGAGGAAAAACCCCACCACTGTGAAGAGTGTGTGGAAAAAATACTTTGATTACAAATCCAATCTCATCCGACACCAGAGAACTCATACAGGGGAAAAACCATATGGGTGTGATGAGTGTGATAAGCGCTATGCCACCAAATCACATTTGACTATCCACAAGAGAACTCACCTGAGTGGAAAACCACATCGGTGTGACCAGTGCGGAAAACACTTTACATACAAGTCCCAGATTACCATGCATCAAAGGACTCATACGGGAGAAAAGCCTCATACCTGCAGCCTCTGTGGGAAGAACTTTGCCTATAAATCGTATCTGATAATTCATCAGCGGATCCACTCAGGTGAGCGACCCCACATGTGCCCGCAGTGCGGAAAATGCTTCACAGACAAGTCAAACCTACGCAAGCACCAGAACACTCACACAGAGAACAAGCCTTACGTCTGCAGAGAGTGTGGCAAGCACTTCAACTCTAAGTACAGTTATACTACACATCAGAGGACACACCAAAGAGGAAAGTGCAAATAACACTGCTAATACAGTTTGATCTGTTACTTACAAAGCGGAGGCTGCCATTATGGAGGCTAACTCAGTTTTTAGATGGCCTTACATATTACAAAAAAAAGAAAGTAATCTGACAGACGTGAGCCTCATTGGACCTTAGATTTGTTACCATCAAATAAAAAAATGAGGGCCTCCAAGGTCAGAAATGCCCATTATTACATTCACAGATTAACTGACAAACTCAGCACATCTGAGCCCCCTTTTCTTCTTTGTTTATGGTGGTTTTCAGCTGTACAAAACTCAAATAAAGGAAGACAGATCTTTCTCTGCCTGTTATTCTTGGTGTGAAATATGCTTGTTTTTTAACTGTCCTAGGGTCTACCGCTTTTGGAAAAATACATCTAAAAATGTAAATGATGGTCAATCCAAACTAGAAGACAGCAGACATTTTCTAAGAGCCAGGGCATGTGTATTACCACCGTCAAAAACAAATGATCAACAAATACAGGCAGCAGATGTTTTTTGGGCACATTGGCTAATCAAGTTTCCGGGATGTAGGTTGAAAGGCCAAACAGTAGTCAAACAGGCCAAAACTGTACTGCGGAGCAATAAAAATTTCCATATTCTCTTTTTCTTTGAAGTCAGTCACAAGAGGCGGCTAGGGTGGTCTGAATCTCTTATGAAGATAAGAACTCCACTGAGGATTCCCACTGGAGCCGTGACGAACACATTGTGTAGTAAGAATGCAGACCAAGAGAATGTTGGATGCATTGTACCCCCCAGCTAAAACTGTGATTAAGCAAAAGGAACTCTGGCATGACCCAATCAGCATTCCTGAATCACTGGGATCAGAATACTTAAAATGATGATATCTTTAAAACAAACTATTGACAGCGCTAAAATGACCTGTACGAGGGAGTTCACAATCTTTTTCTTGAGAGTAATCTGACATTTGAAATATACTTTTTGCTAAACTCTTCTGTACCTTGTAAATGAATAATATACAAGCTCTCCAAAGTCTGTGGGTCACAACAATAGCTTATCAGTAGACATTTTGGAAAGTTAGATATGACTCTTAAAATTTACTGATTAATTTTCTTTTGATTTGTTCCTATATTTTTACAAATGTTCTAAGTTCCTACAGTCTCCAGCTGTTCTACAAATGCCCCATCATGGTTTTTATTGCATCTGTAATTCACCTGGTTTATCAGAACCCTTAGAAATGTCACAAAGGCTTTTGTGAATTGATAGCTTATATCAGCCTTTGGTTCAGCCTTCAAAATGATGGCTTTCATTATGGTGAGTGAAAGTAGCCACAGACAAATTCAACAAGTTTGGTGTCAACTTTTCTCTAAAGAGTCTCGTGTTTATTAATGTTTTTTAAAGACACCCAAGTCAAGATGTCTCTGTGTTACATACTGGAAAGTATACATTAGAATATCAGAAAGATACAAAAGCTGCTTCAACTGTACATACAGTCTGTAGGTTATAGTGAATGTTGACATCTTTTGATGCATAGACAGGATAGAAGGAAAATGATAATAAAATACTCAGTACCAGGAACCTGCATAAATGGTACCTCTGGCACCTATTTGTATGTATTATTGCCTTTATTGTCTATGGCCTGTCTACTTTCTAAAAATAGTGGATTGTGGATTTATGTGGCTGCTATATTCCATATAAAACCTTCTTAATGAAAGTAATTATATATATATTTCTGTATGCTTTTTGTAAGTATTAACTCCAGCCAAAGCGTTCTTGTTTTAGAGTCAAAATGGGTTGGAACCTCTGTCAAGTTTTTATTGCTGTCTACAGTATGTCCCCTTTGAGGTTTTTTCTTTCAGTTCCCATCTTGGTGGAATATGGTCACCTGGACAGAAATGTAGGTGAAATCTCACGTATATAAAGACAAGGACAGCAGTGAAAAAAACACTTTAGCAGAATGGAGAAAGGTTAGTTCTGCTTTCAGTCCTTTAGTACTGCTTGTGATCCTGGTTGGAAAGTTTCTATCCCAATGTCCACCTGAGGGAGAAATCTAAGCATGAAAACAGGCAGATAGAAAACATTACAGAGGTTTTATCTCTTCTCCACAGCAGATGATTAAAAAAAACATTTTGGCTGTAGTTCTACTTTAAAGTACACCTGTCTGGAGAGATATTTGAAGACTGCCATTCTGATCTCTCATTCAGAGCTAGTTGCTTGGCTGCCATCTTGATGCTCTGGTCTGAATACTTTTTGAATTACTGATCCAGAACTAGTCATTTCTGACATTGATTTAATGCATATTTGTTTTGAGTCTGACTCTGAACTTTTGAACTGACGAACAGGTTGGAAGTTTACATTTTCAGAAACAACCTTCATATTTCCCTCAGGAGAAGTTTGCACAGGAGTACCTAGGCACAGTCATGTGTCAATGCCACATTTCAGGAAAAATTCAAGCCAAGGGGTTAGGTTTTCTGCGTGATGCTTAAGCACAATTAAAATTTCTTGACATTCCCTATAATATTTAATTCAGGTCTCCTTTAAGGGCCAGTTCCAGGGCTGCTGTTAGAAACCACGGGGCACCATACAGCCAACCTGGCAGGCCCCCTTCCCCTCCAAAAAAAGTTTACTATGCTTCATTTATGAATGAACACAGTGAGTGATTGGTACCAAACATTGTGTTCATTCAGGAAAGGAAGGGGCTGGTAAATGTGACATATTTCCTGGACCCTTCCCCCACTCTCCATCCTGAAGGATCCTATTGCGTGCTTACAGATGCCGATGGGAAGGAAAGGAGGAAAGCTGACAGCACTCTGGGGGTGGTGGCACACAGGGGGACCTGGGCAGCAGGGGGAAATGTATACTGCACAGGAAGGGAGATGGGTACGGGGGGGGGGGGGGGGGGCAATTATTGGAACTGATCCCCTGTATGGCTCTTTGTGCAGCAGCTGAATGCCAGGGAGAGGGGAAAAAGCCAGCTTTCAGCTGCTGCAGAGAGAGCCATACAGGGGATTGGTTCCAGTAATTGCCCCCCGCCTTGCCGATTCACCCATATAAACACAGTCTGCATGTGTTCCGAATGCATTACCTGTTTTTGACTTGTTTTTTTTATGCGTTCCGGTGAATTTTTCCCCATTTTGTTTTCTAAATACGAACATGTGCATCCCGGTGTGTTTTTTGTGCATTTTAGATGCTTTTTTAAAAATATTATTATATCTTAATTTTTATTGTACAAATCCATTTAAAACCAACATTATACTGTACAAAAAATCCATATTTAATTTCATACACCGTCCCCATATTTACCCTCCCACCCTCACCCACCTCCCTCCCTCCCTCTCTTTATTTTCTTGTTTCCTCCCTTTACTTCTTGTTCTTCGTTTATTATTCTATCTTACTGTTTCCTCTCCTAATCTTTTCCTCTTTCTTCCAATCATTTCTGAGCTTGTCTTCTCTTTTTTTTCTTCTTTCTCCTTCCCTTTTCCTTCCTTTCCTCTTCCTCTCTTTTTCCCTCTTACACTTCAACCACTTCCAAAAATCTTTTAATTTTTTTTTTTTTTAAATTATACCATCCAGGGGCAGACTGACAACTCATGGGGCCCCGGGTAATAGGGGATCATGGGGCCCCTGTGTCCTTGCCCAAACTCAAAAAAGCCTATGAAAAAGGTACCAGGGGCATCTCATGGGGCCCCCTACTGACCCCAGGCCCTCGGGCAGTGCCCGAGTTTCCAAATGGTCAGTCCACCCCTGATACCATCCTTTCCAGGCCTTCTTAAATTTTTCCGTTTTATCCTCATCTATATGATATAATTCTTCCATTCTATGTATGTACTCTACTCTTTCCATCCAATCTTTTATTTTTGGAGGCTCTGGGGTTTGTCATTATTTAAGAATAAGGCTTTTGGCCACGTTTAAAATATGGAACAATATCATATTTTTATATTGCTTCACCGACAGCTCTGATTTATGAAATAGGCAAACCCATCTCTCGGTACCCTAGTCTTCTGAATCTCTTGTATATATTGTGTTATCTCCTTCCAAAACTGCTGTATTTTGGGACACTCATCCAGTGTAGAAAATATTGCCTTCCTATTCTTCAAATCGTGAAAAGAACATAAACCCCCTCTATCCACAATATCTTTGAAACGTGCATTTCTATCAATTATCCATTTCCCTGAAATATTATCATTTCTGGGTGGGAAAAACCTGGTTCCCGTCAATGGTATTAACAGTGAGTTAAATTATGTTGGATGCTTTTTAGCTCAATCCAGTACAGTTCGCTGCAAAAGAATGCAGCATGTTCTACTTTTTTTTTCTGGAACTGGAATGCATTGGAACTGACCACGCTGGTGTGAACTATGCCATTGGAAATCATATAACCTACTATCCATGTGTTTTTGATGCAGAAAAAAAAAGCACTGGACTACATGTGGTGTAAACCGGCACTAAATACACAAAAATATACCATTGCATTCCAGGTGCCAAAATGAAAGATGCTAATAAGGCAAATAGTACTATACACCTCCTTTTTCCCAAATGATAACAATCATTGAGAGAGTCTTCTTCATTTCTGCCTAAAATGGAGCTCCAGGATCCCCCCAAAAATTTAATCTCAGCAGCTACAAATACTACAGCTGTTGACATTTAATATAAGGTCACTTACCTGTCCCAGGGGTCCAGCGATGTCCTCACCAGAGCCGATTCTTCAATCACCACTTTGTGAATGGGCCATAGTCTTCTGGGACCTGTGAAGTGCCTCAGAAGGCTGCGGGGGAAGGAGGGGGTGGGGGGGGGGTAGGGTTTTAAACTTCCAGCTCAGATCGCCATGGTGATCTGACCTGGAAGTGGGAGCGGGTACTTCCCCCCAAAAATGTGGAGGTGGGAGGAGGCATGCGAGCAGAACTTGTGGGTGGAATTCTGCTTTAAAGTGGGCTTTAAGTATGGTGATCCTGCCAGCAACACACTTGTACTATGGTGACAGCGCTGACTCATTGTACACTATGTATGGAGGAGTAGTGGAGGGTGGGGGGGGGATTCTGCAG